CACACACTTGACAAAACTTTTTTAAGTACGTTGTGCAAAATTTTGTGTCTATCGGCCCAACTTTGAGTCTTTAGTGCTCCATTTTTTTTAAGTCGGAAGAAAATATACATGCGAGCTACATCTAAATCCGAACTGGTTTCAGCAAAACTTGACACATGTTATGTTACACAAACGTAAGTACGTTGTGCAAAATTGTGTGGCAATCTGCCTAATTTTGGATCTTAAAATAGGACAATTTTCAGGAAACTTTAAACACATCATTCTAGACTCAATTCAGTACGCTATGTCAATTTTCGTGTAAAATTAAAATTAAATCGGGCGAAACTTAACACACATCGTGCTATGCCAAATTTTCGAGCAAATCGAAATATATATAGGGACTTTGGTACACCATTTACATTAAATCGGTCGAAAATATATATGGGAGCTATATCGAAATCTGAACCGATTTTCAAGAAAATTTATACACATCATTCTAGACTCAAGTCAGTACGCTATGTCAAATTTCGTGGCTTTGGTGAACCATTTACATTAAATCGGTCGAAAATACATATGGGAGCTATATCTAAATCGGAACCGATTTTTAAGAAATTTTACACACATCATTATAGACTCAATTCAGTGCGCTATGACAAATTTCGTGCACATCGGAAGATATATAGGGACTTTGGTACACCAATTACATGGAATCAAATGAAAATACATATGGGAGCTATATCTAAATCGGAACCGATTTTTACGAAACTTTGCACACGTCATTCTAGCCTTAATTCAGTACGCTATACCAAAATTCGTGCAAATAAAAAAATTTCCAGGGACTTCGGTGCACTAATTACCTCAAATCGGGCGAAACTATATATAACTATATATACGATAAGCCAAATTTCGTGCACATCGGAAGATATAAAGGGACTTTGGTGCACCATTTACATGAAATCAAACGAAAATACATATGGGAGCTATATCTAAATCTGAACCGATTTTCATGAAACTTAGCACACATCATTCTAGACTTAATTTAGTACGCTATGATAAATTTCGTGCAAATCGAAAGATATATAGGGTCTTTGGTGCACCAATTACCTTAACTCGGATGAAAATGTATATGGGAGCTATATCTAAATCTGAACCGATTTTTACGAAACTTGGCAGACATCATTCTAGACCTTATTCATTATTCATTCAGTACACAATGACAAATTTTGTGCGAATCGAATGATTTTCAGAGACTTTGGTGCACCAATTACCTAAAATCGGATGAAAATATATATTGGAGCTATATCTAATTCTGACCCGATTTTCACCAAACTTAGCACACATCATTCTGGACCTAAATCATTACCCTATGACAAATTTCGTGCAAATCGAAAGACATGTAGGAACTTTGGAGCCCCATTTACCTTAGATCGGACGAAAATATATATGGTAGCTATATCTAAATCTGAACCGATTTTTCCCAATTTCAATAGGGTTCGTCCTTTGGCAAAATAAGTGACCTATGCCAAATTTCATCCAAATCGGATCATAAATGCGACCTGTACTTTGTTCACAAAAATACATGGACGGACATGCGTAAATCGACTCAGAATGTGATTCTATGTATATTCTCAAAAGGAACCATGCCTCGTTTCATTTTGTCTGTTACAAACATATGCACAAAGACATAATACCCTGTACCACAGTCTGGTGAAGGGTATAAAAAAGGGGTTATATGGTGACGACCCCAAAAAGGGGACGAATATTAAACATTTTTGGTAGGGAGTTTTGTTACCATATACGACTACAAGTTGCAGCGAATTCGGTTGGAAAGCGCGTTCAAGAACTCCAAAATACCGAAAATTGGGGGGTACCCTTATATGGGGGATATCCGAAAAAATGGACCTTTATTTATAATTTTTTGTGTAGAGATTTGGTACCTATTAAGAACTCAAAATACTAAATTACAGCCAATTCGGTGGAAAATACGATCAAAACACCCAAAATACTGAAAATTAGAGGTACCGTTATATGGCAAAATCCAAAATATGGTATTTTTAAATTTTCCAAATATAACAAGAACCCTTATAACATTAAAGGTCACGTTGAGCGCCAAATATGCCAAAACAGATAACCATAGGCATTATAATACAAAATTACTCTCTTCGACATGCTGGGCACCATTTAACCTATTTAATAATATTTTTCGGTCTTAAATGAACAACTTAGTTCCTTAGAGAAAATATTTTTCTATAATAAGCAGCAAAACTGTTACATTAAAAATCAAATAGTCTTCCATAAGAATCAAAAATCAAAAATAAATATAACCGCAACCACACGATTTCATTCACAACAATTACACCGGACAAATCAGCAGCGACGAAAGGTCTACATTTTCTTTAAAAATAGATATTCTCACTTTTTGTTTACACATACACAGATTTGCCGCTGAACTCCCCACACATAAAATAAAAATGCCCTACATATATATATATGTATCTGTGTGTGTGTTTTGATATTGCTCAATAATTCTCCGCGAACGCGTGTCATAATGTTTTCTGATGCTGTGCCAAGTGAAAAACATTTTTCTTTTGCTGTTGTTGTCCAAAACAGGTGGGTGTGCACAGAAGTGAGAGGGAACGAAGGGAATTTTATGAACGAAAATAGAGGGCATTAGACTATTAGACCAAAAATGGATTTTCATTTTAATTTATATCCAATGATATTGTGGAAAAATGTGGAAGGTCGTATGTAGAAACCTTGAATGTACTTGGATTTTGGAGAAAAAAAAAAAAACTAAAGGGCAATATGTACATAAATAAGAACGAATATTTTATTTATTTGAAATTGTAATGAAATGTGAATATTTATTGGAAAAGGGAGTGAGTGTTCATGAAAATGTTGGCTTTAATTTTGTTGGTCAATGAACTCGAATGCAGGGGTTATCAATTATTTGGTTATATCATATTTTATGGGGACTATTATTGGCGTGGATTTTTTAAAAAATATTTTTAGGGGCCTATAAATAAACATGGATATTTTAAAGAATATTTTTAGGAGCCTATAAAAAAGCGTGGATTTTGTTAAAGAATATTTTTAGGGACTTATAAATCGGCGTGGTTTTTAAAGAATATTTTTAGCGACCTATAAATCGAAGTAAATTTTTTAGAGAATATCTTTAGCGGCCTATAAAAAGGAGTAGATTTTTTAAAGAATATTTTTAGCGGCCTTTAAATAGGCGTATATTTTTAAAGAGTGTTTTTAGTGGCCTATAAATAGGCGTAGATTTTTAAGAAGTGTTTTTGGGGGCCTATAAATACGCGTAGATTTTTAAAAGCATATTCTTAGGTGCCTATAAATAGGCGTGGATTATTTAAAGAATATTTTTAGGGACCAAGAAATAGGCGTGGATTATTTGATGAATATTTTTGGGGGCCTAGAAATAGGCGTGGATTATTTAAAGAACATTTTTAAGGGCATATCATGGCCCTGGAATATTTAAAGAATATTTTAGGGGCCTAAAATAGGCGTGGATTATTTAAAGAATATTTTTAGTAGCTTATCATAGGCGTGGATTATTTAAAGAATATTTTTAGGGGCCAAGAAATAGGCGCGGATTATTTAAAGAATATTTTTAGGGGCCAAGAAATAGGCGTGGATTATTTAAAGAATATTTTTAGGGGCCTAGAAATAGGCGTGGATTATTTAAAGAATATTTTTAGGGGCCTAGAAATAGGCGTGGATTATTTCAAGAATATTTTTAGGGGCCTAGAAATAGGCGTGGATTATTTAAAGAATGTTTTTCGGGGCCTAGAAATAGGCGTGGATTATTTAAAGAATGTTTTTCGGGGCCTATCATAGGCGCGATTTTTTTAAAGAATGTTTATCGGGGCCTATCATAGGCGCGATTTTTTTAAAGAATATTTTTAGGGGCCAAGAAATAGGCGTCTATTATTTAAGGAATACTTATAGGCTTAGATTTTTTAAAGAATATTTTAGGGGCCAAGAAATAGGCGTCTATTATTTAAGGAATATTTATAGACTTAGATTTTTCAAAGTATATTTTTAGGGCCTTTGGCTTAATTGTTCCCATTTAAAATAAAACATGATTTGAATTTGTTTGTTGTTTTTTTATAAAATATTTTTTTATTTTTATTGTTTTTTTATATATATTTTTTAGAAATATTAAATTAATAAATTTTTACTTCATTACATTTTTATCGTTTCTCTGTTTAGTAAACTCGTATGGACTTATACAACAAAATATTAATGAAAATATTAATATTATTATTTTATTAATTAATATTAATAATTATTAATAAAAAAAAACTTAAAAAATCCTACGATAAACATTTTTAACATTATCGAGTGTTAATTCAAGGGGGGTAAAGGGTGTGCATTTGAAAAAAATTAAAATTGTAAAAAAGCTTTAAAGCTATAAGAGCTTTTCTTTACATTGTCAATTATCTTAACTGCTGCGGTTTCATACACTTATACAAATATATGATTAGATTTGCAAGATAAAATAAAAAATAAAACAAATTATTATTGTATTTTTTTATAAAAATAAAACTTACAAGACTACAAATCGGAAGCATTAAATTTTGAGTGTTTTAACAAATATTATTTTTCTGTTATTGTTTTATTTTAAAAGGTTGCACCTTTGAGGGGAAAATATTAACAGCAAAGTCGTAGCTTTCATAAAGCTTTTCTTCTCAGCTGGGGATAGAGATTTACTCGGTTCTTTTTCGCCTTGGAAAATCCTTTGTTTTCCTTCCACTTAAAATTACTTATATTAGTTCCCTAATTTCTGATGTTGTTGTATTTTGATTTTTATAAGGATTAGAAAATTATTATTAATTAGTAACAAATTTCCTTTATCAGCTGCCTTCCTTCCTAAGTTAGCTACATAAGTAAGTATTGCATTTGGTTAATACGGACATTTTAGTTGTGGTCTTCTTAAAATCGACATTAAAATAAACCTCTCATAGGTAGATCGTTCTGTGCTATTTGTTTGTTATTGTTTATTTTTTACGATGTATATTCGTGGATAGTCCCGATTTAGAAGCGCTGGTGGTCGATGAATTCCGCAGGGATGATTGATCATCTTTTAGATAATCCATATGCCGGCGGCCACCACCATGTCGCGTTGATAAGGGCTCGGATTTTCTGCTTGAACGTGTCATGGTACTGCTGCTACCATTTGTGGGTGGCTTGCGGGGCAGTGTTGCCATCTGTAAATAAAAATTAAAAGGGAATAATAATTTTAAAAGAGGTAAAGAATATTTTTAGGGCCTAGAAATAGGCGTGGATTATTTAAAGAGAATTTGTAGGGGCCCATCATAGGTCCTAGATTATTTAAAGAATATTTTTAGGGGCCAATTTTAAGCCCTTGATTATTTAAAGAATATTTTTAGGGGCCTGTCATAGGCGTGGATTATTTAAAGAATATTTTTAGGGGCCTAGAAATAGGCGTGGATTATTTAAAGAGTACTTTTAGGGACCTAGCATAGACGTGGATTATTTAAAGAATATTTTTAGGGACCTAGCATAGGTCCTAGATTATTTAACGAATATTTTTAGGGGCCTACTATAGGTCCTAGATTATTTGAAGAATATTTTTAGGGGCCTATTATAGGCCCTATATTATTTAATGAATATTTTTAGGGGCCAATTTTAGGCCCTGGATTATTTGGAGAATATTTTTTGGAATCTATCGTAAGCGTAGATTATTTAAAGAATAGTTTTAGGGGCCTATCATAAGTGCGGATTATTTAAAGAATAGTTTTAGGGGACCATCATAGGCGTGGATTATTTAAAGAATATTTTTAAGGGCCTAGAAATAGGCGTGGATTATTTAAAGAATATTTTTAGGGGCCTAGAAATAGGCGTGGATTATATAAAGAATATTTTTAAGGGCCTAGAAATAGGCGTGGATTATTTAAAGAATATTTTTAGGGGCCTAGAAATAGGCGTGGATTATTTAAAGAATATTTTTAGGGGCCTAGAAATAGGCGTGGAATATTTAAAGAATATTTTTAGGGGCCTAGAAATAGGCGTGGATTATTTAAAGAATATTTTTAGGGGCATAGAAATAGACGTGGATTATTTAAAGAATATTTTAGGGACATAGAAATAGGCGTGGATTATTTAAAGAATATTTTTAGGGGCCTAGAAATAGGCGTGGATTGTTTAAAGAATATTTTTAGGGGCCTAGAAATAGGCGCGAATTATTTAAAGAATATTTTTAGGGGCCTAGAAATAGGCGTGAATTATATAAAGAATATTTTTAGGGGCCTAGAAATAGACGTGGATTATTTAAAGAATATTTTTAGGGGCCTAGAAATAGGCGTGAATTATATAAAGAATATTTTTAGGGGCCTAGAAATAGACGTGGATTATTTAAAGAATATTTTTAGGGGCCTAGAAATAGGCGTGGATTATTTAAAGAATATTTTTAGGGGCCTAGAAATAGGCGTGGATTATTTAAAGAATATTTTTAGGGGTCTAAAAATAGGCGTGGATTATTTAAAGAATATTTTTAGGGGTCTAAAAATAGGCGTGGATTATTTAAAGAATATTTTTAGGGGTCTAAAAATAGGCGTGGATTATTTAAAGAATATTTTTAGGGGCCTATCATAGGCTTGTATTACTTAAAGCATATTTCTAGGGGCTTGGATTATTTAAAGCGTATTTCTAGGGGCCTATCATAGGCTTGGATTATTTAAAGCATATTTCTAGGGGCTTATCATAGGCTTGGATTATTTAATTTATACTTTTAGGAGCCTAAAACAGTGTTTTATATAATATTTTAGGGGCCTATCATAAACGTTAATGTTTTATAGCATATTTTTAGGTGCCTAAAACCGCGTTTTATAGAATATTTTTAGGGGCCTATAATAAACGTGAATGTTTGATCCAGTTTTTTTTTGTTTTTATTTTCCTCACCGTTTTATTTTGTTCCTGAGAGTAGTTAATTTCATAGCCTTCGCTGATTAATTTCGGTTTCCACGGTGCCAGCATTGAAACGGAACGTGATACGGTGCGTGTCATTGGCTGTAGCGGTTGATTTGTGGCCTTCGATTTATTCGAACGCAAATCGTCACGGGATATTGAACGGCGTCTCAATTGATATGGCTGTGGTATGGCACCTACAGTTGTGGCATGCAAATAGACCACACTGCGTTGACTATGTAGACTGGATTCACCCTCAGTGCCGGAACTTTCGGCAGGGAAGCGATCGCGTTCTCTATAAGATTGTAATACGGATTTAGATGTATTTTGTAGAGATTATTTTAAGACCTACCTTGAATATGACATTGCCCTACGTTCAGCACTGCGTGCTGGTTTTGGTGGACCCATCAAATACGGTTGGGTCCTTCTCGGCTGATGCTGTTGCGGTTGCTGCTGTTGATGTGTACTGCTACTCGTGTCACCACCATTTGGCGTTGACGATATTGGTCTATCGTTACTGCGGCGATATGAATGTTCATCATATCGCGTTGTACGATCCAAACGATCACGTGATAATGTGCGCGCTGCCATTAAACCCGCTCGTAATTTTGTCTCTTGATCTTCAGTTTCGGAACCACTTTCCGATATATGATCTAACTCACGGGAACGTGAGTAATGACGTCGACGACGAAAATCAACTTCATCGTTACCCTGATTATCCAAATTATGCATGGAATTACTTTTGTGGCGTTGGGCCGGTGAGGAGCCTGTCGCGGTGCTAGAACTCGTGGTGGTGGTTGTGGTTAGGCCCAAAGATTTACTACCCGATGCCAAACTGTGGCGATAGTCATCACGCTGTGGACTATCGGAACGTATGCGATCAATGTGATAGGCACTTTGCGAATACTTTTGCGAACGATTTAAATTACTGGATAATGGGGGACGTGACCTGCAGGTGACAAAATTTTATTATATTTTTTTTTCTTTAGAGAAAATTTTTAGTTTTTATCTTACTTTTGCAATGTTTTGCTGCCCTTGGATATGGTTGGCGGATTCGAATCCAAATCGGTATCACCGAAAAATCTTAGATTTTTGGTTGCAGGAGGTGCTTGTGTTGCAGGCGTATTGTGATGGCTATTTTTGCTTCGTTTCAAACTTGAGGTTTCCTGGGCGGAGTTGAGCTGTATGAATAATGGGGGAAAAGGTTTGAATTGGTAACGAAATTGAGGGTATGTGTTTGTGAGGCCTTACCTTTTCCTTGGATTTACTTTTGGCCCTTCGATCTAGAGATTTGAACCAACTGGTCTTCTCCGGCTTAGCCAAGGGCGATTCTTTGCGATTTTTATCCGATGAGGTACGTTTCAATAACAGAGGACTAGCTTTGGGGGTCGATAAACGACGACGCATGGATATATCAATGGCCTGGAATGGAAGGAAGAGATATATTTATAAGTATATCGGTTTTAATTTTAAACATTTTTTAGGTAAAAATAAGTTTAGAGGCCCAGGAGGACTTCTTAAAATTAAGCATAAACAGACTGAGAATCCTCAGAAGTCTTAAAACTTCAGACGCTCTAGAATTTGTATGAAAAAATGAAGATAGAATAGCCACCGAAGTCAAAAAATAATTTTTATAGGCCTATGAGGTCCTAAAAAATATGGAGGCCATTATGGAATATTATTTTAGAAATCTACTACTGGAGGCATTTATGAAGATGATGGAAATTCCTTTGGTCCAGGAAGCGTATAAGTATTAATAATTATGGGAACATTGAGGCGTATAATAATTATTCATTAAAAATTACTCATTCGCCTACGTAAATATTGGTGGTACCAGAAACAGAACTCTGATTTGCTCTATTTCACTCGGGATTGGAATTACATAAAGTTTTGAATGTTGGAATGGAAATTCTTTTAAAAATCCTCGCCTTGAGTGTTGTGAAGTCAATAAAAATTATTTTAAAAAATCCTCGCCTTGAGTGCTGTGAAGCCATTAAAAATTATTTTAAAAACTCCTCGTCTTGAGGCTTTTAGGAAGGCTTAGAAAATGTCTGGAGAGATCGGCTTAAGTTCACTGAGAGTCCGTTTAACATTCTTTCTGGAATCCACGACTTTAAGTCTTATTAAGGCGTAGAAATATTCTTTAAAAGCCACAACTAAAGGCCTTATGTATAAAAAATTAAAACCTGAGCCTTCCACAAGTTTAGGTTCTTGTGCCCTTAGCCCCAGTTCCCAAGAGCATCCAATTCCATCTCCACATATCTCAACCACATTACATTTGATTTTTTGGTTTCCAAAAAGTTGTGGCAATCGTCTCCATTAATTTTTATTTATTTTTCTAGTCTTGTATTGAAGATTTGCTGTTGTTGTTATTTCCGTAAACCACAATTGGGTTAAAACCAATCGTCCAAAACAAGTTTAAATATTTGCTAATCCAAAGAAGAAGGAAAAAAACTCAAAAACATCCAAAACGTATTATGATAACCATAAAATACCTCCATCAAAGCGCTGCATTTATTGTTGCTGCTAACCCACAAACAAATAATAACAACAGCAACAGAAAACATTAAACCCATCAACAATCACATCTTTGCTGTTGGCCAGCCACACAAAACTAACCGATATTGCAGCAGCAGCAACAATGCTAAGAAAATGGTTTGCAACAATATTTAGTTACCCACAACCTGTAACAGCAGAAATTGTAACTTGCCAATCGCATGTTACAACCGTTCACAGCAACAAAAAATATCAATTGGTAATATGAGAATGTGTTGCTCTTTTAGAGGTTTGTTTTCCACCCACCACCTCCCTTGCAACTTGTCTCTTCGAACTACTTTAAGTTGCATTGGCTGGCAATCAATGACCACAACATCATTTGGTTTGGCTAACAAAGAACTTAACATAATGGCATTATCGTAATTTACAAAATGGGGAACAGTGGGATCGTTTTGGGATAATTTTGAAATAGAAATATTACTTCGGAACAAGGAATTCGAGCTGAACTATTAAAAAATGCCGTTTTCTATTGCACATTTTAAATTTATTAATATTTAAGAGATCAAATCTATCATGAATCTAATAATGGGCCAAGGTAGCGTATAAGTATTAATAATTATGGGAAACACTGAGGCGTATGATAATTTTTTGACTAAGAATACTCATTCGCCTACGTAAATGGGTGGGCATTATGAACATAATTGTTAGTTTGAAGAAACTCGAAACAACAAGATTTACAATAATGTTGGAACTACTTCCAGCTTATGTTCTAGTCCATCAACATGGACAAGCGTCTTAAGCCTTCAGTGTTCGCTAAACGAATTAGAGCCGAGGGGTCACATTAGTATTCAAATGATCAATAAAACGTATGTGTTTATACTATAGTAATTAAAATATGAATAAAAATAGAGTTGATCCGCTTCAAGTTCATTAACATATAATTTTAGGTTCTACGTATTCAATATTCGGATAATGATTTGATCTACATATAAGTCCACTTTGAAATGTTTGAATAAATATTGATTTTTAGCTGCCATTGGCACCTTTTTTGGGTACTAGGAATCTTATTTGAACTAAAAAAATTGTCTCTTTGAAATTTTAAATTCATTAATATTTAAGGTTTTGCTATTCAAATTAATTTTAATTCCCTTAATAGACCATGGAGCGTATAAGTATTCTTCATTAAAAATACTCACTCGTCTACGCAAATGTTGTGAGTATTAGAAATAAAACTTCGATTTGCTCTATTTTATTGGGATTACTTTACATTTGGGATTACTTTACATAATACCCATTCATAACCAGTAAGGAAAGTTAAAAAATCGGACGGGGCCGACTATATGATACCCTTTACCACTTTTGATACATACAAGAGATGCTAATATACAATATCCTGTAGATAGAACAGATATATAATATTTAAAGGTCCATTGAAATGGAATGGGGTGAAACTAAATGTGTGATCTACATAGAAATTTGAACCAATTAAAAAACCCATGCACATACCATTCTGAAATCTAAGAAAAATTATATGTCAATCGTATTATTTTGTGAGTCATTTGTATGAAATCGAGCAAAATAATGTATGTGGAGCTATATGTAAATCCTGACCTAATTGAGCAACCGTGGCACACCGTTTGGCATGCTACTGCACAGAGCGCTGTCCAAAATTTTATCTCGTGTATATGGAACAGACCAATCGTTGCACTATTTACCAAAAATCGGACGAAACTATATATGGGAGATCTATCTAAATCTGAACCGATTTTCACAAAACACCGAATACATTAATATGGACCTATCTTAATACGCTGTGCCAAATTTTGTATCAATCGGACAATCCTTGGAAGTTTAATGCACCATTTTCCGAAAAAAAATCGGTATAGGGGAGCAACACTTCGTATACATCATACGCTCTTTTTTAATACGCTCTGCAAAATTTTGTCTCAATCGAAATAAATATTGAGAGTTTGGTGCACCATTTACATAAAATCGGACGAAACTATTTTCACGAAACTTAGCACACGCCATTCTAAATTTAATTCAGAACGCTATGCCAAAATTCGGACAAATCGAATGATCTTCAATGACTTTGGTGCACCATTTACCTAAAATCGGCCGAAAATATATGTGAGCTATATATAAATCGGAACCGATTTTCACGAAACTTGGCACACATCATTTTAGGCTTAATTCAGTACGTTGTACCAAATTTCGTGCAAATCGAAGGATATATAGGAAAATATATCTAAATCTAAACCGATTATCACGAAACTTTGCCACATCATTCTAGACTTAATTCAGTACGCTATGTCAAAATTCGTGCAATTGAAAAAATTTCCAGGGACTTTGGTGCACCAATTACTTACAATCGGGCAAAAATATATATGGGAGCTATATTTAAATCTGAACCGATTTTCATGAAACTTAGCACAAATTATTATAGACCCAAATGCCAGTACGCTATGCCCAATTTCGTGCAAATCGAAAGATATATAGGGTCTTTGGTACACCAATTACCTTAAATCGGATGAAAATATATATGGGAGCTATATCTAAATCTGAACCGATTGTCACGAAACTTTGCACACATCATTCTAGACTTAATTCAGTACGCTATACCAAAAGATTTCCAGGGACTTTAGTGGACTATTTACCAAAAATCGGCCGAAGCTATATATGGGAGCTAAATCTAAATTTGTACCGATTGCCACGAAACTTTGCACACATCATTCTAAACTTAATTTAGTACGCTATGCCAAATTTCGTGCAAATCGAAAGATATATAGGGACTTTTGCACACAATTTACCTTAAATCGGACGAAGATATATATGGGAGCTATATCTAAATCTGTACCGATTTTCACGAAACTTGGCATACACCATTCTAGACCTTATTCATTACGCTGTGCCAAATTTCGTGCAAATCGAAAGATATATTGGGACTTTGGTACACAATTTACCTTAAATCGGACGAAGATATATATGGGAGCTATATCTAAATCTGAACCGATTTTCACGAATCTTGGCATACACCATTCTAGACCTTATTCATTACGCTGTGCCAAATTTCGTGCAAATCGAAATTTATATAGGGACTTTTGTACACAATTTACCTTAAATCGGACGAAAATATATATGTGAGCTATATCTAAATCTGAACCGATTTTCACGAAACTTGGCATACATCATTCTAGACCTTATTCATTACGCTGTGCCAAATTTCGTGCAAATCGAAAGATATATAGGGACTTTGGTACACAATTTACCTTAAATCGGACGAAGATATATATGGCAGCTGTATCTGAATCTGAACCGATTGTCACGAAACTTAGCACACATAGTTCTAGACTTAATTCCGTACACTGTGCCAAATTTCGTGCAAATCGAAAGATATATAGGGACTTTGGTACACAATTTACCTTAAATCGGACGAAAATATATATGAGAGCTGTATCTAAATCTGAACCGATTTTCAGGAAACTTAGCACACATTATTCTAGGCTTATTTCAGTAAGCTATGCAAAAATTCGTACAAATCGAATGATTTTCAGGGATTTTGGTGCACCATTCACACGAAAATATATATGGGAGCTATATCTAAATTTGAACCGATTTTCTCGAATTTCAATAGAGTTCGTCCTTGGGCTAAATAAGTGACTTGTGCAAAATTTCATCCAATTCGGATCATAAATGCGACCTGTACTTTGTTTACAATTTAAAATGGACAGACAGACGGGCAGACGGGCGGACGGACATGCATAAATCGACTCAGAAAGTGATTCTATTCATATTCTCAAAAGGAACCGTGGGTCTATCTCGTTTCCTTTTGCCTGTTACAAACATATGGACAAAGACATAATACCCTTTACCTCAGTGTGGTGAAGGATGGACCTTGGTTTATATATGTAATATTATTTATAATA